TTTCCAATGGTGTGATTTCCTTTGGGGTGCAAGATGCAATGCATGTTTTCAATGTCGTCATACCTTCTAGGTTTGGAAAACTTCCTTGATTTGTCAGTCACCGCTACGGTGTTGTCTGGTCCATGTTTTCTCTCTTGATGTCTATTGTTTCGATGATTTTGCTTGTCCGGATTGTCTCAGTTGTTTCTATCCGAGAACCTTTCTCGTGTCTTCTCCTCTACAGTAATCATCTTTGCTACTGTTTGTCTGAATTCTTCATTGTTTCTTGGGTTTTCTTTGCAGAAGTCCTAAAATTGCCACCTAGCCATGATTCCATGAGAGAAAGCTTTGATTACTTCTCGTTCGGTGATGTCATGTACTTGAGCGCATAGTTCGCCAAATCATCGATAGTAATTTCTGAGACTTTCACCTCCTTTCTGTTTGAGTCCTTTTAACTCTACGTGGGTGATTGGGTGTGTAATGATACCCGTGAAATTTTCATAGAAAGCTCTTTGTAAGTCCTCCCAATTTCTGATTGATCCTGGATTCAATTTGTCGAACCATTGGAGGGGCATGGTTTCTAGGGCCATGGGAAAGAACATGGTCTTGATATCGTCGTCTCCTCCGGCCAGTTCAATCGATTGTGAGTAAATCCGAAGCCACTGCCTTGGTTCGGTCTTGCCATCATACTTAGAGTGGTTGGACGGCTTGAACTTGTGAGGTAGTCGTATTAAAGCAAGTCTGTTTGCAAAATAGGGAATCTATCGTGCGTTCTGTCTTCTGCGTATTCTGATTCAGCACCCCCTTCTTGCCAACTGTTGTCTTGGTGAGAGTAGTTCTGCGTGGCTATCTGAATAGGTGCTTTGCTTCTGACCTTTCTTGGTTGTTCGACTCGGTCGTTTTGACTATGGTCCCTTCTACTTTCTCTGTTGTGACTTCCACTTGATCCAAGTCTCTCGAAAGCGGACTTCCTTTGATTTTGATCTTCCTGCTCATGAGATGTTGACCTGGCAGGTAGTCTTGAGCGGGTTCTTCCGTCGTGCGTCCTTAGGACTATTGACCGGAGAAAGTCCCAGAGTTGTTCTTGTTTTTCACTGGGATGTGAGGTTGCTCTGAGTTCTTCTAGTGCTTCTCGGATCCTATCATAGGGTGTATTCGCCGTGCGTCTTTCTTCGACTTCTCGTTCTGATTTTCTTCTATTGTACTCGGCCAGATCTGACTCATATCTGATCCAAGCTTCCTTGCGCTGCCTAGCACGGTGTTGGCATCCTTGTTTCAACTTGTTTTTTTCTTTCTCTGGCTTGCTTCTGATTCTCGATCTCACCATCGTGCCCCTGGGTAAAGGGTGATATGTTGGACTCAGATTCATCCGATGACCTAACGTCGGGCGCTTCTGGGGGACCAATGGTGATCGAGGACAGCGAACCATGAATACTTCTTGTGCATGAATTGTTCCGCTATCGGCGTCAGTTTCCACACTGTCGGAGTAGTTGATAACTTTAGTAGAGGCTTCGAGGTCGTAGATCGAGTCTCCTTCTTGGTAGGGTAGAATTGTTGTTGTCGTAGTGCCGACTAGTCGGGTACCGCTATCCTTAGGAACGGAACCTGGCCAGTGGACGATGCAGTCTTGAGATGTTATAGTTAGTACGAGACCTTCCTGAGCTCCTTTCAGTGGCATTCTAAGCACCGGATCAAGGGATCCTTCGGGCCGTGTCTGATAAGATGATGCCATGTTGTGGAGTCCAAACGAAAAAGGACCTGACTTCTTGAAAAGACTCTGAGTGTACTCCGAGTTGTATTCTTGATAGGCCAAGGCCGCGTTCTTAAGCCCCATCGGAAAAGAACTCAGTTTCTCGGAAGAACTCGGGTAAGACTCCATTTTGGATGCGGAACCTGAGTTTGAGTCGGATGCCTAAAGTCACAAAATCTGAGTTGGATCAGACATCGCGAGTTGCGTGAATCTTCCAGCGAGTTGATCTGTCGTAGTCGCCGAAATAGAATGGTCTTCATGGTGATCCAAATCTTTGAGGAGACGGCTTTGGAGCTTGCCATTGTCACCTGCCTCGCAGATCCATGAACCGAAGATGAAGGTTGATCCCGTCGAGAAGATCATGTTGTCGAGGTCCATCGAGCTCTCGGATGCAAATTCGCCAAAAGCCCCTACCTGGCGTGCCAGCTGTCGATATTTCACCACCGATCGCCTGCCATGGGGGTACCTGGGGCAGTTTGTTCAGGCTTCAGCGTATGCGAAACTCAATGGTAAACGCAAGAGACAGCCGATTTATCCTGGTTCGGGCCCTCGACCGTGATCGAGTAATAGCCCTACGTCTAGTCGGCGTTAGCCTTTGCGTTGGATTGATTATGAAGTATTGTGTCGTAAAGTCCCGTCTCTAGGAACCCTGTCCTCCTTTATATAGTCAGGAGGCCAGAGTCCTAGTCGGTTTACAATGAGAGTTCCTAGTAGGATTACAGAATAATACTACTACTAAGATTACATGGGAAGAATCCTAGTTAGACTAGATCTTCTCCCTTCCTTGCGGGGTATCCCGTGGGTCCCGCACCATCAGCAGCCTCCTATGCTTCCTGGCCAGGCAGCTGTCACATAGCTCGCCTACGTGCTTGATGTGGGGCAGCCCTCGGACCATCTTCTCTAGCCGACCGAGCGTGTCGAAGCTGAGATGGATGAACCAGGCATGCCACAGCCATGGCTCCTCCTTGTGTCGTGCTGCCAGGCACACCGGCTGCTCCACCTTCAAGTCAAGCAGGTATAATTGATTACGTGAGCGTTTTACCTTCGCGAGAAGATGCCGCTCCTGATCCCGAATCTTCAGGATCCCGCTCTCGATCAGTACCTCGCATCCGCGCTCATCCAGCTGCCCGATGCTGACGATGCTTGAACGTAGCTGCGGGATGTAGTACACATCCATCATCGCGCGGTGCTCACTGTTCTGGCACCTAAAGATGATGGTGCCGCGCCCTCGGATCACCACCCTTGAGCCATCACCGAACTTCACCGTACCGGTCACGTTGCCGTCGAGCTCAGAGAAGGCTTCCATGGAGCCCGTCATGTGGTTCCTGGCGCTAGAGTCTAGTTACCACCGCTGCTCCTGCTCGTTGCCCACACGTCCAAGGTGGACTTGGGCACACGGTTCGTCGAGGTTGACAGCCATCAAAGCCTTGCCATGCCCTTCCACCGCCATCACCTCTCCCTTCTCTTTGGCCTCAACGTTGTGCAGTGCACAGAGCATCGCCATCAGGAGAGTGGCCTCATCATCCTCATCAGCCTTCTTCTCCTGCTTGTGATTTGGGCACTCCTTTGCCCAGTGGCCCGTCTTTCCGCAGCGCCGGCAGGCGTTGGGGTTGACCTTCTTCTTCTTTTTCTCCGAAGAAGCCTTGCTGCGGCACTTGCCATCGCCACCGCGGCTGGAGGAGGCTTCCCCGGACTTCTTCCGGGAAGCCCACTCCTCCTCTATTAGCAGCAGCTTGCCGCTGTCCGTCGTTGTTGTGGCTTGCTCAATGCGCTCGTCCACCGCCCGCAGACGGCCTATCACATCTTCAATGGTGAGGGTGGACAAGTCCAGCATCGCTTCTATGGAGAGAGCGATCTGAATGTACTTCACCGGCATGGGGTGGAGGTACTTGGAGACCGCCTCTTCTTCGTCGATTGTGACGCCATCGCTCCTCAGCTTGCTGATGAGCGACTGTACGCGGAGGGAGAAATCCTCTACCGATTCACCATCCTTGAACTTGAGGTTGGTGTACTCCTGCTTTGTCGGTGCCTTTGTCAATGGCATTCCAGAGCTGTCGGGTTCTGAGCTTGACCTTCATGGTCACCGCCCACTCGTCATAGTTGGTGCGAGTCAGCGTCGGCCAACTGGTGCCGCTGACCTCCTGCACCGTGCGCACGACAATCTCCTATCGTGGCTGGGCAGCCACAGCAGCGCCACTGCTGTCACCCATCTCCAAACCGTCCATCATCGCCAGCGGTTAGTCCGGCGGCGGCGCTTGTATGGCTTCGATACCACTTGTTGGCCCCTGGATCTCCCGCACGGGTGAGCCAACCACTCACCATCGTTCCCGACTGCACACTATGGCTAGAGGAAGAAGAGGGAGGGAGAACAGAGCGCGCGCACACAGCAGAAGCACCAGCGTTGAACGGAGCTCTATAGAGAAGATGGCAAAACTAAACTTGCTCTCTTTACTAAGTTGCAGTGGGAAGCTATATATACAACTCTACACATCTAATCCTAGTACATAGACATGCCAGGCCGCCAGGCTGCTACAGTGACTAGATGTGACAGTAGGGCTAACTTTGGCGCCTGCCCCTGCTGTGGCAATAGTGCGGCATGAGAGCCTTTCGGCGCCTGCCCCTGCCGCGGCTACAGTGCAGCAGCAGGAGAGCCCTTTCGGCACCTGCCCCTGCCGCGCATACAGAGGTAGAGTAGCGTATTACTTTACAAAGAAGGCTTCCTTTCACTAAGTTCCCTTCAAAATTGCCACCTAGTCCACCCACCACATATTGATACCAAGACCATATCAGTGCCTTCTCATAGCTGGCTAATGGTTCAGGTAGAAACCTCAATCGCTGCACCTTCATAAAAATGGCAGATATTGGGCCACAAGTCCCTGATGTATACAATGCCAGTTTCATCCAAGGTGTCATTGAAGAGTAAGAAGGTGGACCAAAATGTACTAGACCTGATGGGCAGGGCAGAACCGACAAAGATGGAAGAGGGATCACAGACACTACAATGTCGTAGTCCCTACCGAGTAGTCTTTCTAGTGTTGATGGGCCCAGAGAAGCTAAACTCTCACAGCGAAGAATGTTGACTAGGTAACTTCTTTTATGCTTCGACAATGGACCGTTACCAGTTGAATCACCCAGCTTTGTGGCATGAATGTTGTCAAAATCGTGTTAGTATGCTTTCCTTGCCTTCAGATACAATAGATGAAGATGGTGATGCATTCACATCTGCGGCATCAAAATCACCCATTTTGTTATCCTGTGGTGATAGCTCATCCTATTGACCACCACCAGAAGATTCCAAAATTTGAACTGAGTTCACAATAGCATTATGAACACCGTCATTTTCTTTGTTTTCCTTAGTAGAAGTGGTATCTAAATCATCCTGCATAGAGCTCTCCTGATTATTTGCTTCACTAGTCAGGTTGCTTGTTTCATTTGAAGTTCCGCCAGACAACAAACACTCAAGGAAGCATCGAAGGCTAAAAGCATGATTTGCAAATTCATGCAGCACACCTTCAAACCGTTTTCCCTCTAAACTGGCTAGATCATTGCATAAATCAGCAATACAAGAATCACCAAGTTTTCCTGCCTCGTATAGTGTTACAGCATGCGACTTTAAACCTGCAACAGGTTAGTGAGGAAGGGTTAGTCCATTATGCCACTTTATAGAAAAGTTTCCTGGAGATGTGTAAGCATCATTTAAAAATAGACAACTATATTAGAAAATTTACGCACATCTCATTGGATATCAGTGATATCGCATAGATTTCTGCTTAAAAACGTAAAATATCTACTAGGCAATTGCAAGGGAATCTAACCTGGAGACAGTGAACCCATCATTAAGTATGAAGTTACATTAGCATCCACAATGAAGCCCACATAAGCCATCCTAGAGTGTTTCTTGTGTCCATCAGAATCATTACTAAGCAACTCATGACTAGACTTTTCTGAGGCGATACTCAGTACGTGAACTTTCGACTTCATCACTAAGAATATTATTGGACAATGCAGGAGTGCTTGAATCCCTAAGAACAAAGTCGGTGTCCAAAAGCTTTACATCCCATCCTAGTCGACAAGCAAATGATGCAGCTGCCTGGAGCTGATAAAGGTCAGCCTGTAAAGTTGTAGCCAATTCAGCAACCGTAGCATTTTCACTTGATACAACGAATACAGCATATAGTAGCCTGCAGTATAAAAAATCGTACACTGATTTTAACAGGTACAGAAAAATCTAGCAATTGACTACATCTAAATAGGGAATGTAGTTCATTACAGTTTCACATAAGACAACTGTAGGAAACTACTCACTCTTCAATTGGATCTTCATAGGACTGATCCTTGTTTGAAACAAAACCTTCAAGCCTGGAAACCAAAGCGATGGTATGAATTCAAAACTGAAGCATCCAAAATAGATGGTTGACTAGAAGAAATCAGAGACCTAAGGTGTTTATGGTCGAAATATTCCTTTCTAGAGACAGCAGGATAGATTCAAGCTTCTTCCTGACATTTTCTTCAACAAAAAAAGGCAACTATGCGGATGAATCTAGGCCCACGAGGCAGTGATTTTAAAATGGGCCCAAGTTATGAAATCCTATAGAATGTTAAAAAAAGGCAACTATGCCGCCTCGGAATCAACTAGTGGAAGGAGAAAAAACAGTTGGAAAAGACTCCGGCTAGAGTGACCTTTGTGGTATCCTCTAGGGCTGACCTTCGCTGGGTCGCCCGTAGCCCCCTCAATGGAGAGTAGGACTTGAACGAGTCCGAACTTCGGTAAAACAAATATCGTGTCTCAATTTGTATATCATTTGATATTTGTATTGCTCCAGCTTTTGTGCAGGCTCTCTGTGTATATTGTCATCTCTAGTAGGTGCCTGCAGTTTGGTTTGAAGATAGAAATCGAAAAGAGCAAGTTTGGGGCTGATCTGCAGAAATCGTGTATACCGAACACGTCCGGTATTCATGCTGGACACGTCCGATACTAGAGCTTAGTACTGAAAATATTTATTCTCTGTTCTAACTTTGTGTTGCAGGGTTGTAGCTTCTAGATATATTCTTTATACCTTGTTTACTCTGTGGCTAACTTGTAAGGGGTGGTATTATTCTTAATTTGGATTTTCCATTTTAGAAACTCCCTTTTCTAATTGTTTCCGCATTTAAAGGTGTTAATTTTCAGAAACGCCTATTCACCCCCCTCTAGGCGGCATCCTAGGTCCTTTCAATTGGTATCAGAGCGAGGTTCTCACCTAAAGCTTCATCGCTGTGAGAAAAGGATGTCGACGCCTATCGAGTTGGAGCCGGTGCTTCTCCAAAATGATGGTTCAAACTTTCTACCTTGGTCAATACATGTACTCAATGCTTTTAGAGGTATTAGTCCTCTTGTTGAGCATATTGTGGATGCAAGCATACCTCTTTCTATAGTTGATTGGAGCAACTACAAAAATTTATCAAAAGAGGAAGAGATATGCGTGCAACTCAATGCTCAAGCTATTAATATTATTTTGAGTACATTGAGTGCAGAGGTTCAAGATGAGGCAATCTTTAATGGACAACCACCTCCATAGAGTGCTCATCTCATTTGGACTAGACTTTTTTATTTATATGGAAAATCCAAATGTGATGACGCACTTGAGATCAAGTCAATGGAAAGTATGTCCATTGTGCCTTCATGCAGCAAAGAAGCCTCACAAGACCTCAAGAGCGCCGAGCCGGAGCAAGAAGTGCAAGAAGCGCATGACTTGCTGTCTGCCTGCACAGGTATGCCTACCGGATGTGTCCGGTATGGCCAAGGCAGCAGAGTAGCAAGTAGCTGTTTACAATGATGCTCAAGCCTGATGGCGACCAAGTGATGAGTCAACCTCAGTATTTCATGATACTCATCACTTGTGTCTCATGGCCAAGAAAAGCAAGAAGAGTAACAAGAAAGATCAAGAGAAGGAGAAAGCACAAGTGGATGATCAAGATAAGATTGATGTTGAAGTTGAAGACAACTACAACCTTGATCATCTCAACCGTAAGGACAAGTTCATCATCATGAAGATAGTTGAAAAGAATGATGAGCTTGAAGAAGAGATTGAGAAGCAAGAGCAATCACTTCAAAAGCAAGAATTGTTTCTCATCTCAAAGATGGAAGAACTAAAGGCTCTAAGTGAAAGGTATAAAAAATTGTCAATTGAGCATGCTTTAGTTACTAACTCCTCTTCTAGTGTTTCACAACTAGAGAAGGAAAACTTTGAGCTCAAGGCAAGGCTAGATGAACTATCAAGCAAGTATAATGTGCTACAAGCAAACTATGTTCATCTAAGTGCTCTCATGATGAAGTAGTAGAATCAAGCATTATGCTTGAGGTGGCTCATGAGGTTGTGATCACATCGGTAAAATTTTCTCAACCTCTCACACATTCACTCACTAGTACACCATCTCAATTAAATATTTCTTGTACTAATGAATGTGCTCCTCAAGCAAGCCAATCTTTGATTGAGCTAAATCTAATAGAAAACATAGAGCTCAAAGAAGAGGCGAAAAGATTAAAGAAAAATGTGATTCGGTTAAAGGGTAAGGAGAAAGTACAACATTCTCAAGATAACCATGATAACATGGTGAAGAAGCTTGAGAAGGGTTCAAACCTTGCTTCCTCCAAAACCCAACAAAAGAATCATATTTCAAGTAAGGTCAACCCAACCAAGAGCAAGAAACATGGAAAAAGGATGTGCTATGGTTGTGGATTGTATGGACATGAGTGGGCTATGTGTCCACACAAGATTTGGACCGACAAGGTTGAAGCCACCAATCAAAAGGCTTCTACCAAGGAGGCCAAGCAAATGAAGAGTGATGGACAAAGTGTCTGTCTCATGAGCAAGAAATTGGGGCATCCTACCAAGAAATGCCCAATGTACAAAGAGGCAAGAAAAGAAGCCCAAGTTGCAACAAGAAGGTGCTATGGATGCAATGAGATGGGCCACAAGGTTGATAGATGCCCATACAAGCAAAGCAAGCATAGAGCAAACAAAGGTCGCATATGCTATGCTTGTAGAAGAAAGGGGCATTTAAGCTATGAATGTCCAAATGGTAACGCTCCTAAGCCGAACACATTTGTTTATAATGATAAGCTTAGGAAGACCACAAATGGAGTTAGCACTAGCAAGGTGATATGTTCACCACAAACTAGTCCTAAAGCCATTTGGGTGCCTAAGCACTTGTTGACTAACTCATAAGGACCCAACAAGAGTTGGGTACCAAAGTGTGCTTAGGTTAATGATGTAGGTACTTGATGATGAGATGAAGAAATCGGGGTGGTTGAGCAAGCAAATTGATAATACTCACTCAATCTATCAACCAATTCTTATCATAATCCCTTATATGGTTGACCCAAAGATAATTTAATGAATATATCATTTACTTCATCTTCACCATTGGTAACAAGTACCTAAACCTTATAGGATAGCCACTTTATTTGTTTTGTGCTCAATAACTCACAAATAGGCATATTGATGAAAAATTGAAAGTGGCTAATTAGTTTTACTTGATAATTATCATGATTGCCATATGGTGCTTTTAATACGTCTCTAGTAGAGCAATTCATTTGTTGAGATGCAAGTATACAATAAATAATAAAGCTAAACAAAGAATCACAAGCAGTGAATTATTTGTTTCTGTCCTGCACCTATCGGACATGTCCGGTATGGCTAGGGACAGAGAGAAAATATTTCTGTTCTGCGTATTCCGGACGTGTCCGGTATACCTACCGGACGTGTCCAGTATTGAAGGAACCAGAACACTAATAGGATTACAACTGAGTCTTTGATCCATATATTTCCATATATCCTCAATTTACTCAGAAGCTTGTGGTTTACCAAATCTAAGTAGATTGTGAGCATCTCTTGAACTCAAATTTAAATACGGCAAATTATTTGGTTATGGCTCAAAATAGAAAATTGACTCCCATATTCTTAATAGAATAAAGTGCTAGTTGAAAATCATTCAAAATTACTTAAAGCACTTATTTAGGGGGAGCTCAGTTTCTATTTTGCACCTTTGTGGACTAACAAATTTATCTAGCATTCTTTGTAGTCCTTTAAATAAAAATGTATCTAGCATGATTATTTGGCAATCAAGGTCAACATAAAGATCATCATGCTATGTCTTCTTAGTGGTATTCTTGTGGGCTCAAGGCAAAGGTATGTTTGCACCTTGACATTTGAGGTCATTTTGTGAATTCTAATCATAAGCACAGATTAAGGGGGAGCCTCTCATAAATCATTGAACTCAAAAGCTTAAATGTTTATATTCTTTTGTAAGCTTTAATCAAGTTGTCATCAATCACCAAAAAGGGGGAGATTGAAAGTGCATCTAGCCCTTTAGTGGGTTTTGGATGATTGAATGACAACATGATTAAAGGTCTAACTCGTTTGCTAAGTGTGGACAGGAAATAGGTTATCTCACCGGTACTTAATGAAAGCCAAAATGATGTGTTGTTGTACAAACAATCTAGTTCAAGCACAAGACAACAATACAAATAGAATTCATACAAAGGCTTATTTATTGTGGGATTTCCATGTACTATGTGAAAGCAAGCTCATAAGTATTAATTAATGAGACATGAGGGATTGCATATGGAATCGTCTCATATTTGAAGCTTGCTAAATTGAAATGAAAAAGGTAACAATACAAATGAATGGTTGATTCAACACAAGATGTGACTTGATGGCTTGAGATGGTGAAGATAGCAAGAAAAGGCTTCGAGGTACTAAGCAAGGGTGAAAGGCAAGCGATGGCTTGGCGGCCGAAGAACCTAGCTAGGGTGAAAAAGGAAGTACTTGCATTTAGTTGAGGCACTAATCAAGCCATGATGGTCATATTAATGTGAAGGATCAAATCACTATTGAAGAGTTTGATGGAAGTGACTTGATACATTTAGGATTATTCAAATTTGATGAATGGAATCAAGTCACATGCTCAAGATGGCTATACTCAAGTGAAAAAGATCAAAGTTGACATGTTAGCACCCTCACTTGATGAAGATTGGAATACACGGCTTCGATTGAAAGAGATTAACTCAAAAGGTTTAAATTTGTTATACTTTTAAATTTGAGTTAATAGGAATGTCGTACTATTAAG